ACTTCCCTCGGTCATTTTGCTTTCTAGAAAACTGATCAAAATTCCTTTGCTAGTCATACAGAATTAGTCAGTGGGATCCTTCACTTAGCAACTACATGAAACTAAGTCTTACTCAACACATGCACGTACGCTATCAATTACTTGCCCTCTATGTTGAACTATTGTCATATTCAAATTAGAAAAATTGGTTAGTTAAATATTAGGTGTACTTCCAGCAAACTGGAGTGGGAATAATTTTTCTTCCCACTGTAATTAAGATGTTCTACAATTTTATTTGTCAATAAATATACAGGTTATTATTAAGTTGGTTATAATAAATGGATAATAAAATGCACAGTAATCTAAAGTATAAGTTAACTTCGTTTCCTACACTTTCCTAAGTTGATTCTTCATTTTCTTCATATACTTGCGAACTCAACTGACATATTCAATTTATTTGCCTTGCTTTCGTTAATTGGATCTTGCTTAGTTGTTAATTTCTCCATAAAATTAGGCATGTTTTACAAGTTCTAACACTATATCTAGATGTAAATATCTTTCAAAATAATTTTACTTTGTCATTACCTTTACAATTGCTTCTTTTATATTATTTGGATCTAATGTCTCTTTGTTTCCATCCCTTAAAAAAGAAAAACAATTTTTCAATGCACAAGGATAAATTCTGGTCTTGTTTCACTGTAGATCAAGTTTTATTATATTTGGTGAATTTTAAAGGGGTTGCTCATAATTAAATGTTGGAACTTATACGGACGTCCTGTTCTTGTGCTTGACAGGATCTAGAACGATTAAAGCCTGTCATTCTGACTGGGGACTTGAATTGTGCTCATCAGGAAATAGACATCTACAATCCAGCAGTATGTAATTCCAATTCTAGCATTATATAATTTCATTCTATTTTCAACTGAAGGAGATGCAACCTACAAAAAGAAAGGAGGAAGAGTGCGTATCTTTTAGTTAATATCTTAGTTCTAAATAATTAAGGAGACTTGTAATGCTGTAGTTGGAGTGGCCTACAATTAGACACGGTGGATGGTGAACCATTGCTGCTTAAGGCCATCTCCAACCACAACACCATTCCACCATTTTGCACCATTTTTTGGTGCAAAATTGCTCCAACCCAACACCAAACTTTGCACCATTTTGGTGCAAAATGGTGCAAAGTGAATAGTGTTGCACCAAATATGGTGCAACACTATTCACTTTGCACCATTTTGCACCAAAATGGTGCAAGTGTAAAATGCCAATTTTACCCTTATTTTACATTTCCCAAATAAATTTGTTGAGGGTATTTATGTAATTTGTGCTATATATTTTTTAATACAATAAATTATTATTATTTTTATTAATATTAATAATTATTTGTGTTTAAAATAAATTTTAAATGTAAGACATAATAATTAATTAATTAATTAAAAGACGAAAATAATTTAAAATACATCAAACACGATTAATTAATTATTTATTTAGTAATTTATGTATTTCTGAAATAATTAAATAAATAATATTTTAAATAAGTAGATTATAAAGAATAAAAAAAGGGAAGAAAATGGTTAAATACTGTTCATTTGGTGTAATTTTTGGTGTAATGGTTGGAGATGAATTTTAGTTTGGTGCAAGATTTGGTGCAAAATTTGGTGTAAAATGGTGCAAAATTTGGTGCTGGGTTGGAGATGGCCTAAGTGCCTTAGTTGTTGTAAAAGTGATATCGATCTGAGGTTTTTAGTAGTTCTGTTGGTCGAAGTAGGAGCTTTATTTTTGTCCCCTGTTAAGAATGTTTAGATAATTTTCTTCTTATTATTATTACAGATGCCTGATTTTTTGCATCACCTTTTAGGGTAATAGAAGAAGTGCAGGTTTTATAGATGAAGAAAGGAAATCATTTCAGACAAACTTTTTAGACAAGGGTTTTGTGGATACCTTTAGGAAACAGCACCCTGATGTTGTGGGTTATACTTATTGGGGCTACAGACACAGTGAACGGAAAACTAACAGGGGTATCGCTCTTACTTCTTGTAGCGTCTTTTGCTGCTTCAATTCACTTTGTGAATATTAAGAGTTACTCTCCAGACTTTTCCCCCACCCTCGAAAAACGAAAAAAGATAAGATTTTGTCATATACTGATTTAAACAAATAACGGCTACTTTTATGAGCTGAATGGCTAGGTTTTGCTAATCTCATATAACGAAAGGATCTGGAGGACTTAGAAATTACTATCATCACCACAGCATGGTCATGATTTTCCTCTTGAAATTTTAGACTTGCAGGTCAAAGAAAAATTTATATTTTTTGTGTGTCAGCTTAAAAGCTACTAGTTTGATTACTAATGGTAACTACTCTTCTGTTTCCATGAGACAAATTTCGAAAAGAACAGAACTATTCTCTTGGGCTCATCTGGAATCGCTGCATTTCATGCGAAGCATTAATTTTTGAAATAAACAATCTATTTTATTGGTTAAAGTTAGAAATAAGTTAGTTATTGCGAAAATGACGTAAGATATAATTAAGTAATCGGATAGAAAAAGTAAATTAAAGAGTAACTTTAAATTTTTTAAGCTTACCAAACACACTCAGCATTCTTTTTCCAAGTACTGCTGCTCTGATACTCCCTTTTTAAATTTTCTGTTTGCTCTTTACTTGTCTTTTGTTTTGAACCAGGGTGGCGGCTTGACTATTTCCTTGTCTCCGAATCGATATCAGACATGGTTCACGACTCATATATTCTCCCTGATGTTAGTGGAAGCGATCAGAGTCCAATTGGCCTCATTCTCAAGCTTTAGGCTCAGGAGTGACCAGACGACTAATTTCATATCCAAAGCGTAAAAGCTGGATTCTGAAGCTAATTTATGACAATCTGTTTTGGTTTATATGGTCTTGTGTTCCAAAAATGGTAGACTAATGAGCACCTTCAAGGGCCGATTTTGAGAGCAAGTTATTTTCGTGTTTTAATAGAGAATTTGGTGAATCTTTCTTGCACAGTATGTAGGCCTGTTGTATATGAACTTTATGTTCTTTGGATTGATTTTAGAAAGTTGTTTAATTTCCCCTCTTGTTTATACTCGAAATTAGTATTCTTAAAACCAAAAGATTGAGCGGGATCTAGTACGAATTCTCACATCAACCTAGAAGTTTTAATTTATTGCAATTCGAGCTTTTAGAAAAAGTACTAGGACGACCTGAAAATAGGCACAATATATAATGCGACAATTGAACAAGTAGTTTTAATGTTAAATTATATGTTTAGTCTATTTATAAATGTATTGAACAATACATCTGTTATGCAAAGCGAAATAATGCTCAGTCAAGTCGAAGCTGGCTAGGAACGAAAGCAATATTGCTTTAAAATTTCAATCTAGAGCCTTCAATGTTTTGGAATTCTTCAAAACTAATCCAAAACGTTGCTTGCTTATTAAAAAGAAAGCAGCTCAATCACCTTGTAGCCTTCCTCAATCAAGCGGCAGTCTTGTTAATCAATATCCATTGTCTTCTCTTTCTCGTCGTCTTTGCTTGACCAAAGCTTGATTGTACGATCCTGTGAAACAGTTGCAATGCATTGCCCATCTGCAACAAATGATGAACAGCAATAAATTATGCTTACACAGCACTAGCAGAACCACGATTAAGGGAAAAGCAAGGGTCAAGAAAATGCTGAGATGTTCAACTTGACGTCATCAAATATCGGGTGAAATGCATGAAGTCTATTAATCTATTGAACAAAATTTTAAAGTCATCGCCTAATCACCGGCCCTTATTTTGTCCCAAGAGTTATAAACTTTTCCAACTTCGCTAATCCCTTCCAAGTGTTGGACAGGTAGCAATGTAAAACATAACTGATAGAAAGATTCAATAAGGGTCAAAAGTCTCAGTAGTTATGTAGATCAAGCAAAAATGATAGGGGTCTATGTGGCAGTGATGTATTCACCCCAAGCCAGTTAAATACAGATGGTTAGCATTTATAACTTATGTGGACAAAGCAAGATTACAAGATAGAATGCCAAGCACCTAAATGGACACAACAATCCTAGAACCGATTTCCTCTCCTCAAAGTAACAGGGGAAAAAAATGAATGTGCATTTCGTATTCTACCAATTTCATTACGGAACATAAGAATAGCTCATGGAAACAAAACAGACTAATTAACAATTTTAAAATATAAATTCTGTAAGTATTATGCCCTAGGTCCAATTTTTAATTAATCCATTTAATTAAATCCAGTCCATGAATTAATTAATCCAATTAATTAATTCGAGAATATAAATAACAAATCCAATTAATTAATTTATCCAACGATTGTTAAATTAATCAATTGGCAATTTGCAATCTTCCAATTCTCTTTTGTGTGCGACCCATTAGGTTCCCGACCACGATACCTAACGACGTGAAATATTATTTTGATCTAATCAAAATTGATAAATTAAAGCACTCTTTTAATTTATCGTCAATTCACACTCGCCGTCCCTGATTGACATCTAGCAATGTGTCAGGGCAATACATGTGATGGAAAATGTCACGTGGTATGACAAAATCAAATTCATTCGTTTACCGTGAAACTATAATCCCTTCGTCAATATGATCCGATCAATTACGAGATATGGAATTATGTCAATCCCGAATTTCGATCATATCTTTCACTCCACTATTAAGTTAATATAAGTTGAAAACTCCTTTTTGACTTATGAGTACACCTTGGCCAAGGATTTCGTTATCGACTTAATTGAATGAAACGTTGATCATAATCTTCTACTATCTAAGGGTGATGAATCCTTTATTGGTCAATCATAACCTTCATACAATTCTTGATGTACCCGAACGATGTCGTATTAGCGGCCCTTTGCAGAGCAACATCCAACACCGTCAAAGTATGACTGTCCTCATATAAGGTGCCATGACGACCTCAAGTCTAAGGACCAATTCCACTACCGATCGTTAGAGATTAACCACTGACACTCAAATAGTTATCCATGTGGAATCTCTCGGCGGGTTTCCAATGTTTTGTTCTATATCAAAACATCCACGTGTCATTTAAGTGTCACCACACTTTAACTTGTGAGATCAGCTACTTACTTCACAAGTAAGAAATGCCACACGTGATGGTCTATCCGTATCTCGTTATCACTTATGACCACGGGCGATTTAAGATTCAATCAAATGTAATTTATATCTCACAATCACAACTCCTTGTGATTAACAAATTACGAAAATTTGAATCTACGAACTCTATTATTTATTTAATTGTCTATTAATTAAATAATAGATCTGCCATTAAATTACATTAATTATATATCAAAAGTATTTATGTCCAAAGTTGATTGGACCTAGGGTATAATACTTACAAACTTACACTTGCACTAGATCCAATCGCTTATGTATCCAATATCATAAGTCTATATGACGATCATGTTTATGCTACGACAACTCTTTATCAGTGGATCTGCAATATTGTTAAATGCGGGAATTTGTTCTTCTCTTTACGTCATTTCTATGTATTATCTCTCTGATGAGATTATACCGCCTTAATACATGTTTGGATCATTGATGAGACCTTAGTTCCTTTGCTTTCACAATGGCTATATTGTTATCACAATACAATGGTATGTGATCAACAATATCAGGAACTACTCCAAGTTCATTTTGAACATCATGATCCATATTGCAACTCTTTGCTACTTCTGAAGTAACCATGTATTAGGTTTCTACTATTGAATTAACGGTTGCTTCACGTTTGGAACCTTTTCAACATACCGCTTAAGAGTAAACAAATTTCTCCATATGAAATCCTCTCAATATTTTATATGGATTGGGACGAGTTAAGCAACCTTCTAGATCTATCTCTATAGATCAAGTTGCTTCTCGCATATTGTTCAAGAATAAATTCTTTAACAACCATTTTTTCAACGATTGAAACATAGGGATGTCGTTTTCTATAATATTAGGAATACGACAATGCTCCCACTATCTTCTTGTAAATACACAATTTGTCTTCAAATTTGATAAAATCAAACACTTTGACTTTTTCCATCAAATCGAAGATTTCAGCTCCATAGAGACTTATCTTAACCTTTAGTTATGATATGCAACTGTTGCAAATAAAACCCGAATGGACTTCAGTAATGCCACAAGAGAAAAGTTTCACCAAGGTCAACACTTAACCTTTGCTTCTAGCCTTGCTTTGTATATATGGATATTCATATCCACATCGACCCTTCCCTTGTAAACTATTTACAAAACCTTATGGGTTTTATTCAATCAGGAGGCTCGACTAAGGTCCAAACCTTGTTCACATACGCCGAGTTCATCTTGAGTATCATGGCCTCTTGCTATCTCTTTTAAGTCAACACTTGACTTTATTTTGTTGCAACTAGCAAGTTCTTTATCCTGGATCACTAATACCTGATTAATGATGATGGATTTGCACCTTCTTGAAGGTAGAATGATCCTACTAGATTCACATAGAGTTGTCATGTCCTCAGGAGTCTTTACTTCCTGATCCAAAGTATGTCCCATATCAGATATGGGATCAAACTCGAATTTATCTAATTGGTTAATTATATCTGTGGACTCTTAAACTCTTTTAAGTTCTATTTTGCTCCCACTGTCCTCCCTTAGAGTAAACACTTTCTCTAAGAAGATGATATGTTGTGAGACGAAGACTTTCTTCATGATAATAGAATTTATATTCAAATGTCTCCTTTGAATATTCCCACAAATACGTATTTATCAGATTTAGTGTCAAACTTTTATGATTCAAGGTGATTCAAAGAAACATTATGGCTCCAAGCTTTCATATAAGATAAATTGGGACTATTGCTTTTCCATAACTCGTATGGAGTTTGTTAACCAATTTAGATGGGACATGATTTAGTGTGTTGCACACTGCAATCAATGCATGACTCCAAAACAATTTTGGGAGATTTGCATGGCTTGTTATGAATCGCATTATATGTAATAATTAACGATTCCTCCTTTTAGATACACCAGCTTGCTGCAGTATATATGAAGGAGTCCACTGCACGAGAATCTCATTCTCTCTTAGATAATCTAGATTTTATCTTTAAGATAATCTCAATTGATTGAATCTTAATGTGAGGGTATCTTTACCTATTTGTTTCTCTACTTCTAGTTTGAATCCCTTGAACTTTTCAAGAGTTTCATGTTTGAGTTTTCATCAAGTATACATGATCATTGATGAAATAAGATAAACATTACCTGACATTAATTGACACGAGTCCATATGCATCACTATGCATTAGACCAGTAATTATGCTGACCTTTCTTCTTTTCAAGTAAAAGAAAATTTGATCATTGTGCCAGACATACTTAATTTGTACTTGTCAAAATCAATTAATCCCAAGTATACATCTTTATGTAACTTTGGAATTACGTTTCATCTAAATGACAAAGTCTGTCATGCCAGGTTTTGGTAACAATTAGATTATCGCATTTATACCTTTTAATTTCTATACTCATTTTAGAATCCTTAGTATTAAAGAATACAAACGTCGTTTTGTAACTTACTATAGCCATTAGGATCTTTATCATGATAAACAAGAACAACTATTGTCCTTAACATTAAAATAGTTCATGTCGGAACATGAAATTTATTTTAATGTTCCAGCTATGGTTAGTATAAAACGACGTTTCTTTAATTCCAATACTAAACCAAAAGGCAATGACAAGAAGTATATTCATATAGGGAATGCAGGAACCTTTGCTCATCTCCAACGTGTATGTCAACTTCTCTCTTTCGCAGTGGTCTACTTCTTTTTAGTTTCTCCATATTTGTATAAATATGAGATTTAAATCTGGTATCAAATACCTAAAAAACTAGTGAAGTAGACGTAAGCCACGCAATATTCCTTCCAATAACCTTTTATTCTATAATGAAAACAAGGGTCATTAGATTTTGTATTGTCCTTCACTTAGACTGTCTTCACCATATTAGGTACTTTCCCAAAGTCCCTTTAGACTTCCTCT